ATAACGCATATCACTCGTCAACAATCACGCTAGGGGGCTTGAAAGGTGGACTTAGCAGGAAACCACATTATTTTCTGTCTCTAGCAATAGCTGAACTAAAACATTCAGACTCTAAACTGTGAAGCACCAAATAAGAAATATGATTTTCTTTTTTTAACATGTCCGACTGAGAATGTCTGTGAAAGAAATTAAAACTGCCATTCTTAGAGCTCACATAAAAACAGCACGCTCCTAGAGAACAAGCTGACCACTGTTGCATTCCCCGACTGACCAACACACACAAACCCACTCTGTGTAACAGGATTCAGAGGGATGGAGACAGTAATTCCAGTGRGGTGATTCCATTTTTTCCTTTTTACCGTTCATCTTTCCATGGGTTAAATATAGCATCACTGAAAGCGCATGGGAATAAAGGACGAGTGAAAGGCAAGCATGTAGARGGGGAGGGTAGAGGTGGGGTTGGGGGTTACAGAGTTAAGAGGGGTTATATTTAGTGCAAAGCAGAAACGTTCGCTCTGAGGACCGTTACTGTCTCATCCTGCCACTAAGAGTGAGAGATGTAGTCAATATACACAGCGCCAGATTTGCTGCAACTTCTATTGACACACTGCATGATTTGCACACATCTTTTACTACTTCAATTATTTCAGAGTGCAAAGGTAGAAATTTAAAAATAGAATCCATTTTTGATCATGGGCAAAATTAAAAAAAAAATTTCAACAAATGAGTGGGTCTTTATAACAGATATATTTCTTCAAATCCTTCGTTTTTGTCCCTTCAAATCCTTCGTTTTTGTCCCCTCAAACCCCCCGAGATGCAAAAAGGCTCAGGTGTTTACATCCATCCCACTCAGATGAGTGTGACAGCAGGTTGAGTGGGAACAGAAATGTGAATGACACGGGGAATCGAGCCGTTGCAGCACATGGGGTGTGTTTTTCTCTTAATGATCAGAGCAGCTGGGCCTAAATTAGCACTGCATTGCTTGCAATCGTTGGCAGAGGCAGGGTAGGGTGTGTCTGTGCTTGCTCCAGGGGAGGTTGTAGAGAAGACACCCCTCAAAATCTCCCTCATTAGCGAGCCAAGATGATGCAGGGGAAGCTGTGTGAGGCCTCAGCCCTCATTAGGTCCTGAAGGAATAACCACTGAAGCCAGGGAAAGGTGCTCATTTTATAGAAGGAAACCCAACATAAGAACAAACATTCTATATCAAATCGTGCAGTTATGCAATTCTGAAATGTGGGTCCACACTCGATGTCAACAAAGCACTCAGTCGAAAAACTATGTGGAAACTTGAGCCACTGGTTTGACCTACATTAGACTGGCCTGTGGAGAACGCTGCCCAGCTGAGGRGCACTCCCTCCCTGTCAGAGCTATGCGCGGTTGTCCGTGTCGTCCAATGCATGTGAAAATTAGGGATGTCCCGATCCAGATTTTTTGTCTCCCAATAGTTTGATTTTTTTTAATGATTAGTCTTCTGATACCGATCCGATAGCTTTATTTCTTTATTTCTTTCCAAGTGGTGAGGTTGGTAGGATTAAAGCAAGCCCTGCTGTTCCCACCACGAGAAACATCCAGTTTGCAGATTTTGTAAGATGCAGTTTCGGCATCATTGTTTTCCATTGAAAAGTGTTCCCACACTGTGGACATGGTTGCATACTTGTGTGCGTCTTGACTTCTTAACGGCAGTTGTAAAGCAGGATGATGCTGAAAACTGTCGCGAAAACCGGATCGGCCTGATCACATGACTAAATCCGATTCTACCCGATTTTCAAAAAATGGCCATATCTGCCCCAGATACTGATACTGAGTATCTGATCGGGACATCCTTATGTAAAATTGTCCAATCTCTTTCCCAGGGTTCTTTTACTATTTTTCTATATATAAAGTTTTTTTTTACTTCCTTTATAATTTGTAACAGGAATTTAGCTAGAGGGATGTCGGGACGTCATAGCAACATCCTGTTCGGTTTTTCCATCACCTTCTTTTGTTTAGCAAACCCTCAGTCCACTTACGATCTTCAGGCTCACGGAGATTAAAGACATTTCCGTCTGTAATTTTTTTTTATTTTTCCCTATGTAAATTTCGTGAACTCCATAAACAGTGTGGAGGTGATCACAACTATTTAATGAAGCTAGAGGAAGTCATACAGTATAAAGGATAAACTGCACCGGCTTGGATCATGGAGGTGGGTAGCGGTTTTACAGCTTCAGTAGCTGTTGTTGTTGTTTAGTGGGGCACCGATCGCAGTTTTCTGCCTGATCACAGATCTTTAAAAATTCTGACCTGCTGACTACAATTTTGACCAAAAGATTTTCGTTTTTATAACTGACATTGTCAGGTGTTATAAGGTCACAACACACCTTCAACGTTCCAATCATATTTTATGGAAAAATGCTGAACAATACTCTTGAAACAATACAAACTTGTTTTAAATGTATGAGGTAGTGCTCACAGAAGACCAAAGGGGGACAGTGGCTGCTTTTCAGACCATTGTGGAGGCAGATAAGTTTGGCGTATAAGATTAGTGTTTAAGATTGGTGTATAAAAGACTGTCAATAGTTCGATACTAAAATGAGAAGCCAATCACCCCAAATTATGGAAATTGTGCCGGTAAATTGCCAGCCGATTTACCAGTGCACCCTTATGGGCTCGACACACGGGCAGCGACAAACTACAGCGATTAACGTCTGTCATCGCAGCCAGGGTGAAACCCGACACACGGGACGCGATAGCGATCGCAGCGTTTTGAATCGCGCTCTCAGATCGCTTGTCTTCACAAAATTTGATTGGTTCTTGACTCTGAAGGTGGGTGTGCATTACGGACGTGTAAACTAAAGAAATCTTGCGATGCTAATGATATTGAAAAACAAACGCACATCAAGATACAATTTTATGGAGGAAAAACTTACCATAAACTTCACCCTGGTGCCAATAAATTCCCACAAAGCTTTTTAGTAATCACTTGGTGAAAGTGTTAGCTAACGGCAGTGTGTAGCATACTCTCCTCTCATTGGTCAGTCAATGAAACCCTCGCTGATTGGTTGTACGCTAAGAGACAGCGACAAAAGTTGAACATTTTTCAACTTTCATATGTCGCGTCGCAACCTCGCGTGTGCACGTGTACGTGTACGAGCGCGAAATTTCACATGCACTATTTTCGCCGGTCGCTTAGCTGGAGGAGGGCAAGCGATTGTCGCCTCACCGCACAGGCTCCATAGGAAATGAATGGAGAGCGAGAGACGTCGCCTCCCGTGTGTCGAGCCCTTTAGTGTTGTTATAACAATCGCCAGCCTCGGTCGGTCCATAGCTTCTTTTTCACCAACATAAATTTCATATACTTCCAGAAGCTTCGCAAGGCAGGGGTGGGGAGTTGGCATAAAGCGTTGACGCCTTCCTCCAAAAATCCCACCTAAAAGCCTGATTTTTACTCAACAGTTGTAAAGCTGGCTGTATTTTCTCACAGCCTCTTCCACGAACATAATTGCACAAACAAACATACTCAAGTTCTTACCAAACACACAATGCTCGACGAACAGTGCTGTGAGAAATAATGAGTGCGTGATACAATTTTCGTCACATCCCATTAAGTGAGACACAACAATGGGGCTTTTCAGGAACCAGAAATCAGGTGTTAGACAGGCGTTATAAATATTTCAATTTTTAAAAACTGCAGCACCTGTCAAAAACTATTCAGTGCCTCTCAGCAGTGCATCTCAGCTCGRCCAAAGTCGTCGTCGTAAAAGAAAATTGAGCTTAATTGCTCTGCCGATACATTTTGGATTCGCTTAGCCTTAACAGCTGGAAGCTCATGAGGATGTGGTGGTTTTAGTTTTCCACAGAGAGGCAGAGTTAAGTGTTGTTGTGGGAAGTGGTTATTAGATTGCTGAGATGGAGATGAGGTTAAACTCACCATGATGAAACTTAGTGCAGTGAAAAAAAAAAAAAATAGGCGCCAAGGCCGTGTCTCAGCCTTTGAGATTTCACTGAAACACTGAGCAAAGATTTACTATGCATCTACCAATGATAAAGATGAAATGCTATTTTTAGATATGCATTTATTTTATTAACTAGTCTCGAAAAACACTAATCCTGTTTCTCTTGAAAGCTTCTTTATTTATTTACTTCTTAACCGAAAAAAAGCAGGAGCAGAGAATGTTTGCATTGATCACCATTTTATAAACTGTGATGCTTGCAGAACCCTGAGTTACCCTGTTACCAAAGATTTATGGCATCCATCCTCTGCTAGTTCTGACASAGTAAGAGGATTACAGCCACACGCACACACACATGCACACAGTACTGTTATGATGGATTAATCCAAAACAAGTCACCACTGCCTCGCTGGCCTGTACTGATGATTGCTATGATGTAACCGCTGAGGCTACAGGAAAAGGATGAGCTTGACAATGTGCCATTTTTTTTTRCCCCAAAGTTTGTCATGCGGACCAACAAAGAACCCAGTAACAGCAGCGATGCAAGTATAAAACTCTCTTTGTGCACTTAAACAGTTGTCAGAGAGGGACAAAATGAACCCGATCACCCTGAACACTGGCAGATGTGCTGCAACACTTAGCTCACGCTCCCAGCGCAAGGCACTTCTGAGGCATGTCCCGAGGTTTCTGGAAGTGAGAATACCTTTAAAAACGGTCGTTCAGCAGAGCGAGGGTTCTTATACAGAGGTTTCAAGCTAGAAGTGAACCCTCATGTGAGCTCTTTCCACTCCAGAGCAACATTACAGTGCTGGCATTGTGTCAGAAACAGATGATCCATCAAGAATAAGGGCTAAAACCCACTTCATATCAGGACCTTCTAAAATCCTAAGTGGTTCTGTAGAAGGTAACAGGACTTCTCTTGTCTCTTGAAAATGTTTCCTTCTCATCCAAAAGGCTTCTTTGGGTCTAGGCTTTCCGAAAAGAAAAACCTGGATGCATTTAAACAGGAAAAAAAAAGCTAATAAATTCAAATAACTCACAAGCATTTTTAAATCTTACAGTACTTACCTGACACAAGAAAGTGTGTTTATGCTCTTCATTATCCTGGGGTGACTCACTCCAACGTGCTGCCATCATTTCATTTCAAAGCACAGAAAAGGCAAGATGTCCTTTAGAGTCCACATTGAGATGAGGATCATGAAGCCCCAACTTCACAAAAATTTAAAATAAAAAAATTKAAAAATAATGAAATAAGATCCTAATCCACAATGTGTTCCTTCTTCATATCCACCAGCGGCTGATACCTGCAAAAATAAATTTTAAAAATTGTCACAGTAAAACAAGCAGACTAGATAATTACCTATGAATAATTAACTACAAATAATTGGATAAACAATCTAAAATGATGCTTGTAGACTGTTGAAGACAACCAAATAATGTAATAGTGCAATAATAATAATAATAATAATAATAATAATAATAATAATACAGAAGAAGAAGAAGAACGGTGACAGATTACAAACCAAAAATTTAAACTTTTTAGGTCATTTAATGACAACTTTAAGGGTAAAATCTGGAAAAGTTTCACACTATTTAGAGCCCCACCTCACTGTAAAAGAGAAATTGCTAGAGTGATGGCAGGTGTATAGTTGAGATTTTCTTTTTTTCTTTTTATTATCATTTAATAAGAAGGTATGATGGATCAAAATGCCTGTCAGGTCACACATTTGTAATGTGAAGATAAAATAGTAGCACAGATGATGAATTTGAGAGAACAGTGCTGAAATGTAAAACATTTGCAGCACAGTGATGTAAAAGCAGCAAGAAACCATCATGAATCAAGGAGCATCAGAAATGTTTCTCACACTGCAAACAAGCGGCCTAAAAACACATCGTTTTGTTTATTTTTAACAGCTGCACTGAGCGACTAAAGCCCCGTGCGTTTGTTACTACTCTCCCTTGTTGACAAATAGACTGACCAGGCGGACGACAGGTTGTTGCTGTTCATCACGAACAAAAACCTACCTTTTATAAATGGCGAAAACTGGCCCCAAACGACCTAAAAACACGCTGTGCATTTTCCTGTGGAGAGCACCGTGTTTTCCAGCTGCCTCCGTCGAGCCACAGATGGGTTAAAAAAGGCTGTCAAGAGATTACAAAGCGGGATATTCAGTCTCCTAGAGGCACCCTGACCGACCGCTGACGTCCACTACCTGTTAGGAAAAACACGCCGAAAAAACACGCGGTAAACGCCCGTCACGGTGCATTTCTCCTTCAGCGACCCGATCCCGTGGGTTTCATTCATGTCCGCGCATTTTAAAGGTGCAACTCGATGCCGAATTCCTTAAAATAGAGACAAAAAAAAAGTAGCGTGCACTCCCACTTGGTCCTGTTTGGCGGCGCGACAATCCGAACGCGCGCGCGCGCACACTGACGAATCTGCTCCCCTTCGACCAGGCTGGAGCTCCGCCCCTCCGCTTTGCCTCTGCTCAGGGTACTGTCCAATCAGAGAGTCGTTTTAAATTTGGAACTTAGAAGCGGACCAATCGCAGCCGTTGTTACATAACAACGTGCATAAAGAGTGGAAGCTGGTTCATTCTGGTCACCCTACTGAGAGCTTTTCTTTAATATTTCTAGAAGTTTTGTGCTATTTTCAACTTACAATGATTAATGTAAAASAAAAATCCACTTTGTCTTATTAAAATGAGTGAAATCTTTATTTTAGTTGATTTGTATGCTTTCTTTATAAATACCTAACCCATAACTCATTTTCTTAGAAAGTGCTCATTGAACTCAATGAATCTGAGCAAAAATAATGCATCAATACATCTAATTAAACTGTTTAATTCCTAAAGGCTCTTCCATGGACATAACCATTGTTGACCAGTTTCTATTCACTTTGGCTGCTTCCCTAAGTGAAGAAACAATTGTAGTAATAAACAGACTTCCACAATTTTACTTAAAATGTTTTAATGTAAGGACACATTAATTATTAATATGAAATTAAATGTGCAGACTTTGTTTCCTGTTTAATGATTATTGTTGATCAGTTTTCTTTGTGCAATCTACTTTATTTTCACAAAAACTGACATACTGTATTTTACTTACGTACTTTATGCCAATACAAAAGATTCAGTATTATATACTGTAAAGATTACACATACAAGTTTGCATTTCTATAATAACCCCTAAATAAATAAACCTAATCATCACTTTACCCATTGTCTGTAGAAATTTACACTTATATAGCCAGCAAATTAAATCACCACATTGTCACTGATGTAAACAGCCCATGCACATATGCTTAGCTCTTCAACGTCCCAACTTTCAGCCAGTGAAACATATTTGCCTTTCCAATTATCAACTGTACCAGCAGTGTCTAACTTTATTATGGTGGCATGTAGGGCATGGCAGCCACATGGGACTCTACAGAGCATGAAAAAGCAAGGTTGTACAGCTGATCCATGCAAAGACAATGAGGGGCTGTAATCTGTTTGCAGGCTACTTCAGCAGCACAATAGAAAGTAGGACAATAGGCCAAAGCTTCCCTGGTTTAAGAGAAGAGCTATTGTCTAAAGTGCTGGTGCACCCTCACCGAGACAATGACAAAAACTTAAACTGATGTAAATGGGTCTCTATGCATTACGAGGCTCAGATTCATGTTAATGCACGTTTGCTTATTAAACAGCATTTGACATCAATCACGGACAACACTCAGCAGTAAGAGGGAAGAATTACAAACTGCTTTCCAAACCAATCTTTATGGATTACGCATGTGTATAAAAATTCTCCCAAAAACTATAAAAAAAAGTTTTACTGCTTTCTGCCTGTGGTAGTTTGCCTCCAAAGAACCCTTCAGTTGCCACAGTGATACAATCTCCCACTTGTTTCCCTAAAGCTGGTGTTGTACGAAACTCAGTTCCCCCTGTGAAAATCTGTTCCCCCCTGTGTTGGGAGCGCCTCCCTCATATTGACCATTTAGGATTGGTCTAACATTATACCTGGACCAGTGATTCTCTCTAAGCTTAACCAGTAGGGGGAACAGATTTTCACGGGGGAACTGAATTTGGAGGGAGCTTTCCAGCATTTTTTGAGTCCTTTTCCATGAACATATTTCTGCAGAGTGAGAGTGACGTGAACATTTAGCAGGAGATTGGGTGTTTTTGTAGCAGCAAGATGTTTGGCTGCTTTAGGACATCACACGCAAGTTTAAAGGTGTCAGATCAAGACAGGAGAAACTGACTGTATTAAACATATTTGTGCGAACGAGTTCTTTGAGCACAAGCAATCATGCGAGTTCATTTGTTCTACTGATGTGTTTTGGGCAGTGCCTTCACCAAACATTTATGTATATTTATTGAGGATTTTATTATACTCATTGTTGTGAGTTCAAGAGGATGAGGACCACTGAGTGTATAAGTGGATCTGGCACTGAGTTAGATGATTTGGACAAAACTCAGCAGCAGCACTCAGTCTTTCAAAAGCCAACAGGCCAGATCATCATAAGTTAAACATAAGAAACAGATGATGTGCAATTTGTGAACCAAGACTGGTCACTGAAGCTGTAGAAGACATATTTTTCAGTGGTGGAATACAGAATGCATATCATTGTATTACTTTCTTTCAGGAAATCAGTTCAGATGTAGAAAGGAATTATCGACACTAAAACGAAAACTAAAGCCAATTGGAAGCCATTAAGGCTCACTACTTATTCAGCTAAACTTGAATTAAAATATACAGGTGCTGGTCATAAAATTAGAATATCATGAAAAAGTAGATTTATTTCAGTAATTCCATTTAAAAAGTGAAACTTGTATATTATATTCATACATTACATACAAACTCATATATTTCAAATGTTTATTTC